CAACATTTTAGTGCAACATTTTAAAAGCTCTACTGGTGTACAATAAATACATCATCAAATATTGGTTTCTCTGTCCAATGTTGATCATTTTTTAAGGCAATTATCGGTCAATACCAATATGACTGCGATATTATCATCCCCACTGCTACTGCCTGCCCCTTGGATGAGTGGTGGAACACCTTTAAACTCATTTTAACTGATGAAGAAAAATAAGGGAAAACTGAAACATTGTAAGATGTCTGAGAGAAACACGTTTTTGGGACAATCAGTCAGTCACTGAAAGGTTATATTTCTGTCAGTATTAAATATATATCGCTGCTGTCAGAACAAAACCTCGTATCTCCATTTTTGTCATTTTTCAGTTTTTGACATAGTTTAAAAATGCCTGTTACTTTACATTGTGTGTAAATTTCATGATAAATGGACCAAAAGAAACTACTCAGAATTACCTGGAAAAAAGTCTGGTTCCATTGACTTACATTAAGAGTAAAGTTGTAGAGTAAATGTTTTTCCTTCTCCTGTAAAGTTACCATTTTGGAGAAACAAGGTTTTGTTCCAACAACAGCGATATATATTTTTAAAGTCTTAATCATCTCTTTTGTAATGTAGCCTGATTACTTCATTAAAGCTCCTGATGGAGGAGAAAACAGCTGCAGATACTACTACAGAGTGATCACTTCCCAAAGGATTCAAAATAAAATAGGAGGACTGTCTTCAAGATCTTGAAATCCCACGTTGAGATGTTTCAAGATCTTCCTGCCAGTTCAGCATCAGTTCACTGAAGCCCACAAATGAAGCCACTTCGCTCTGTGCTCTTCAAGATTACACTACAAGTCCAGGCCCCATTACTCACTATCACTGGACCAGTGATTCCCAGTCCAGTCCTCGGGGACCTCCCAGCGCACCTGCACCAGGTGTTTAGGTCTTGAATGTTTGGCTCAGGTGTGCAGAACCTATAAAGTGTCTGGAGGTCCCCAAGGACTAGATAGTGAAACACTGCAGAAGACAGTTAAATGACCTGCCTGAACCCCTCCCTCCCTTAACAGACCCACTGCTACCTGTGGTGTCAGGGCGAGGATCTCTCTTACTTGTTGCCTACGTCTGCTCCAGGTTCCTCTTCTGGTAGCCCAGCTGGCGCATGACCTCGCTGCAGTAGGCCTCCACCTGGTTGACCTGCTCCACGTTCAGCCGCTCCCTCCAAGCGAATATAGCTTCTTTGGCGTCTCTGGACGAGATGAGGAACGGCTTGTCTGAGCTGTAGCCTCGGCCGCGCGTCATGTTCAGCACGAATTTCTCGAGCTCCGGCGACACCGAGAGGTCCGCGAAGCGGTACAGGCGCCTCAGCTCGTCCACGGGCCGCAGCACCAAGTCCTCGTAGCGTATCTGCATGTAGTTCCTGCGCAGCCACGGCGGTGCGTTTGCCACGAGCAGCATGTCCCCCAGCCAGCCGTCGCAGATGAGCTCCATGGCGCGCGCCACATAGTTCTCGGCCCGGTTGGCGCGCGCTCCGGGCGCCAGGAGCCTCCGGTAGCGGTCGGCGTGCTTCTTGCTGCGCAGCACCTGGATGCTCTCGCGCACGAGCGCCAGCTTGGACTTGAGGCGCGAGTTGTGCACGGCGCGAGGGTCGCGGAACAGCTGCACGACTCGAAGGTTGAGCGAGGGGTCCCGCACGAGCGGCGCCAGCACGCCCACGTCAAGCACGCGCACGTCCTTGATCACCACGGCGCGGTATTTGCGGCACTCGCGCTCAAGCTCGGCGAGGTCCCGCGGCGGGCAGCGCGCGCATACGTCGCCCTGCACGAGCCCCACGTCGCGCTTGCTGTAGGCGGCGCACAGCGGCTCCGAGCAGATCACCTTGTTGGTCTTCCAACCGAACACGAACGCCGTGCTTACGTTGGCGGAGCCCGCGTACAAGCGCAGCACCGAGAAGTCGCAGCGGAAGAGCGAGCTCATCATGTCGCGGACGGCGCCCTGCAGGCTGGCCGCGTCGCCCGGGTACAGCGCCTGCCACATGTTCCACATGGGCTCGTACAGGTAGAACACGTCCGGGTGCTGGTTGAACAGCTCGCCCAGGAACGACGAGCCCGTCCTCCACGTGGCGTGCAGGTAGATGTGGATCTTGGTGTCGCTCCTGTTGCCGTTATCCTCGCTCGCCGCCTCCGTGCCGTTGCCGTTGGCTCCGCCGATGCCGCTGCTGCTCCACAGCGCCATCGTGTTCTCCAGGTCCGGGCAGCGCTGCTGCTGCACTGCATGTTTCGCATGAGCCGAGTGGCCGCGGTAGTCCAGCACGTACGGGACGAGCAGCAGCAGGACCGAGTAGGCGACGATGAGGATGATGTACTTCTTCTGAAGCCTCCTCTTCATTGCCGCAGCGCTCGGCTCTGCGATCCGCTCAGATCTGGCGACCCCGGTGCGAACGGCCACCAAAAGCCCTCCGCTCAGCTGCTTGCGCCGCTATGAACACGCCCACACGAGCTTGTACACACATACGCAGGCACAGAGGCGGGCACAGTAAAAGTCCGCAAGCCGGAAAAATAGTTACATCCACAAAATTGACAACGCCCACAGCCTGGCAAAATAAGAGTCCACAAAAACAACAAAGTAAAAGTCTACAAGCCGGCAAAAAAGAAATCCAAAAATAGGCTATATATATATATATATAAGTTTATATAAGTTTATATAAGTATATATAAGTTTATAAGAAAGAGCAAAATAAGGATCCACAAGCAGGCTAAAATAAATCCTAAAATAGGGCATGTAAAAACCTACAACCGGGCAAAATAAGAGTCCCCAAAAAGGCAGCATAAAGAACACAGGCAGACAAAATAATGATTTACAAGAAGGCAACATAAATCCAAACATAGGAAATTGTATGTATATATATATATATAATAAAAATACAGACAAATAAATAAAATAAAATATAAAAATAAATAAATATAGATACTATTAAATTCCACAGCCAGGCAAAAAAGGTCCTGTCCCAAAAGGCGCCCTGAGCTCTGCAGCCCTCCTCAAAGTCCAAACTTAATGTGAGCAATATATAGGCATAAAGGACAAGATACCTCAGGGGTGCATTTGGGACAGACTTGTGTGCCACCCGAAGTGTACATGCACTGTACCCAGCAAAATTATGTTCTCAGCTGTACTTCTTATCTAATTTGGCCCATGTAGATTACAAACAAAATGCATCAGAAAGAGGCGGTTGAGGCCATCGAGGGAGTCTGTTTTGGAAGAAACAAGGCAAGCTGCTGTTTTATGCTCAGTGTCAAATGGGGGATGAATTTGTTTTTGTTACTTTGTTCACTGTTACTTTGTTACTTTGTTTACTGTTCTTTGCAATTATCACTCACTGAGAATGGTTATAAAATGTTTAAACAAGTTCATGAATAGAATGCATTTAAAATCAGCAGGTCTACGTTACAAGCGATGATCATATCCCTCTTAATTTTCGGTTTATGAATGATCACGAGTTCAGTAATAGTAAAAGAGCGAACTAATAAAGATTTGTTGTGTTTTAATGTGAGTTTATAGCTATAGTATTCCTATATTTTGTATTAAAACAATATTGTACTGTATGTTGTAATACAATATAGTTTGTTAGTTCAACACTGAGTATTTGCTATGGTCAATGTACCTTCTGTTCATTTGATTTTCATTTATTGAAAAACGGCAAATGGGTCGATTCTCTTTTCTGATTCTGGTATAGTCAGTGGAAAAATCAAGAAATAGCTTTGTTTTACAATTTCACAAACTAATCACAAAATCAAATAACAAGCAAACAGCAATGAAGTCGTATTCTAATGATCCAAATTTGGAATTTTCCATCATAAGCTGAAATAAACGTGCAGAGCGCAGGTATGGAAGCTCAGAAATCACAGAAATCAGGCCTGTGGATCTGGTATATTGGTCGGCTATATTACTTTTGTATAAGCGTTTGTATATTTGACGTGCACAAACCATATGAGAAAGAAATGATATAGGGAGGAAAATGAACTCCCACCATTTGACAGGGGCTTCGTGCTCCCCAGATCAGCTGCGCTCAAGTTCAAGAAGTTTTCTGTCGGCGTTGCGCCGAACTCCGCTAACTGTCATTCTGCTACGAGAGGTGCTCTGTATTGACACCAGCAGAAAAGGCTCATACAGGGCAGCCCGTTAGCAATGAAGGTCACCTCCGCTTCATGGTAGACACTTAACTAACCCAACTAACTAAACACACACCCAGGCATGTGATTCAGACCATAGTAAAAAAAATCCCTCCCAGAAGCGAACTGGACACAGAGTCCTGAGTACAGAGGCCCCGGCGCAGCACTAACGCGCCTCTAAAGCTCCCCTTCCGCCCCCCCCCACCAAACCGGAGCCAACGCCACGGCCACTATATTATAAGACACCCACGAACATAGGACAGCGCACATGGCGGGAGTCGCGTTTTTGCTAATAGAACAAAGTCAATGAACACATATAAAACGCTATAAAGCCTTGAATAATGGCCGATCTGGGCTGACCTTCTCAACACTCATGCTCGATCTTTCCTGTCCTCATCAATTTTCAACCTGCGACCATATTTTTGCTTAATTTAAATCAGTACAATCGACCCCTTATTCCATTGCTGTTTGTTTGTTATTTGTATTTTTGATTAGTCTGTGAAACTGTAAAATGAAGCCATTTCTTGTTTTTCGACTGACACTCACAGAATCAAAAACGAGAATTGACCCATATTCTGGTTTTTCAATACTAGATTTTAAAATGAAAATCAAATGAGCAGAAGGTACACATCATTTTCATTCTTTTGTCATGGAAATGAGTTTTAATGACAATGATTGTATTTCCTTATTCGTTATGATTAACTTGATAATCAAAAATCCTTCATGTTTTACTTTTTAGTTTTATTTCTATTCGCGAAAATTCCCTTTTTTCTGTCGTGGTTTCAGTTTTAATTTTTGTTTCAGTGGGCTGCCTCAGCGTGTGTCCAGGCCGATAGGTGGAGGTAGAGAGCTGGTAAGCTTTGTGTTCGCGTTCAACCACAGAAGGAGCTTCATAACAAGCTGAGCGGCAAGAAGGAGCCGCGCTGAGCGCCGAGCGGCGATGAAGCTCCGAGTAATGTTGATAAACTGCAGCTCTCTGACTGAATGATTGTCGTAACGAGTGAAGGGACAAAATCTGCCCCGCAGCAATTTGCAAATACCATGAGTGGAGATTTTCCACCCGTCTTCTAGCTCAGCTAGGTTACATAACTGAGCCTGATATGGTGTTGATGCTAGGTTAGCTTGTTAACTAGCCGCGTAGCTAGAATGCAAACTGTGAAAGCAAAAAGCTTCAGCTCAGCTGGTATAAAACAGCTCAGTGTGGGGCTCATATTTGCGGAAATTATAAATCAGTGACGGTCGATGTGTTTTTTGGTCTTTTTTGCATAACCCGGTGTTGATAAAGTAGCTAGCTGACTTCTACGTAAGTTAACTAACGCTAAGTGACTGCAGGATGGCACACTGGACCAAATTCGAGAAAGAACTGGACCAAGAGGTGAGGAAACTGATAGCGCATATGACCGGCATTCAAGATGAAGAGGACCAGAACTTCCAATTGGCTCTCAAATTTGCCTGGTCAAATTTCAGGTGAGGATGCGTTGGCAGCCTTGGGTCTGTAAACCGTTGAAGCCCTGGGTTTGGCACTCTCCCAGGTGCCAGTGTGGGTTTCTCGTAACGTTAGCTAGTTGTTTGAAGGGAAGCGCTAAGTGTTGAAGATGTAAACAAAGTCTGCAGTGGTGTAAACTAAGAGTGGTTTGGTGTGGAATGCTCCGTTCTAGAGGAACTCACAGAGTCAGAATTGTGCACACTGGTGGTGGTGATGGCAACCAGACGTCCATCTCTAAAAGCTCCCTCAGAGAAAATTATTGCATTAAATGGTTATGAATACGCTGTCTGATGCCTGAGACATTGTTTTATGATAGTTGTTTGATAAAGTGTTGGGCTAAAACCTCTTGTGAATCCATTTATTTTACATGAAGGGTGTTCAAAGACAAATTAATCCCCAAAGAAAACTTTTTTTTTTTAGATTTTCCGTTATTTTTTCATTAGCACCATTACAAATAAAAACTCAGAAGAAATGTGTAGGTTTGCTGGTGGTTTGGGATGATGAATAAAATGGTTGTATTTGTGTCGAAGACATAGTAACCCCTGATCCCTATTCCCACCACTGTGAAGAAATAAGAGTCTGTAACTTGTGTACAATATTTCATATAAAACCACTCTGAATGACTTTGTGTACAACTATAGAATTATGTAAAAATGTAGAAAAATCATAATTCCTCTCTAAGGAACTGCCATTCATTCCAAATGTAGTGTGGATGTTGCTGCTCGATGAAATGAAGTTTTTGTTCTCCTCCTCACACTGTATAGGTTTCACCGTTTCTTAGATGTCAGCAGCCACAAAGTACAGCGCTCAATAAAAGGGTGAGAATGTGATTCAAGCAGTGCTTCACAAATTTGCCCACGTCAATGTTTTAAATTCCGAAAATTCATATCTGGTTCACCATTCGTGATTTTCAGGATCTATGAAAAACTCATGGTGCACTCCGACCTGAGTAAGGCAGAGAGTTGGACGCGACTGACGGAAGAATTTCTGAACTCACCTCTTCCTAATACTGAGGGTACCATGGTAAGACACTGTAAAATCATATTGTACCACTAAGATATAAATACATTAAATACATATAACAAAGGTTGCCTTTCTTCTCTTTCATACAGACTGATGTCCATCATGGTGTATTGGCCTTGTTACTGTTGCTGTCTGATTCTCCATCCAACACTACCTACAGCGAAAGGCCCAGATTGAAAGAATCAGGTTGGTTGTCTTGTATCGTACCTCTGTGTTTTTAGACAGACAGTATGACCAGTTAATAGCAGGAGGGTGGAATGTGTATGAAACGCACCAATTCAATAATAACTGTGTTGTGATATACCCAAAAAGAGCAAAAAAAAGTGAATGCAAATTTGCCCAGAAAGACGGTAACGTTTTAGTAGAAAAATAATTAATAGAAAGAGCGTTTTTCAAATTACAGGAACAGGAAGGTTGCCGTCATAAATCATTTCAACAGCGTAAACATACATCTCACATGCAAAGAGTTCACTCCAGTAAAAAGACTAAATATGAGACCAAAAGGAGATCAACAGGCTACAACTCAAGGAGCCAACTTTGAGTGAGTGAGACACAGAGAGAGAGAGTGAGAGAGAGAGGTGAGAGAGGTGAGCAAGGTGGGGGGTGAGAGCACCCTTACTCTCTTTCATTTAACACTGACACTGAAATGAGCTGAAATGTTTATTTAAAGAGTTACTATGACTCTGGAACACGCAAAGTGAAAATATGTTGCTTGTACACCTGTTGAAAGCTCAAATGTCCATGTGTAGACTAGAGCTACATAGAGAATTAAACTGTCAGCTTGATGGTGTCTTAACGTGTGAATAGCCATTTATGTACTAAAAGAGATGTGTTATTGTTGCAGTTGATAAACAAACGCTTCCACATTAAGCATGGATTGTGTTAAATCATGTAGCTGTCGTATGTTTATTACTATAAATATACAATTAAAAACTTGAAAAGTTAAAGAAATAGCTGGTATATCTCCTGCTTTATTTTATGTTTGAGCATTTTCACAGTTCTCAAAGGTTTGCAGTGCTCTATGGCAGGGGTACTCAACTCAATATAATAATCATAAATGATGATCATTAGGAAACCAATATTTAGAGAGCTTTTTTATTTAAGAGAAATAGTTTGTCTAGCTTTAATGAAGCCTTTTTTCTTTTTTCAAATGCATTGATATCATAATATCATAAACTATGATTGAAAAGTTTGGTAATTATTGTAGAATCATTTTTTAAATATTTGGCATGTGCCTAATTCTTAGTCAAATAATTTCTTAATGCAGAAAAAGAGGACAGTTTTGATTGGGCTAAGTACTTAATGGAAGGAGAAGATATTGACACGGGCCCTTTTCCAGACACTCCGGTGAGTAGGCTGAATTAAATTATACATTAATTTGAATACTGATAAGCATATGTCTGTGTTTGGCCATGTTTAATCATATGGTCCTTTACAGTTACACACATGTGACACACTCAAGCAGGGCTATTTTATGCCACTGAAAATGTGCCTTTATGTGTAAAATTGTTGTAACCTTGCACTTTTAGAATTAGTGCCGCTCTATTAATATTACTATTACTATTAGTGCTGCTTATACCTTTACTGAATGGCCTGATGCAGATATATGTAGCAATGTGAGTGCATCTTTCAGTACGCATGCATATGGTTGCTTTTCAGGAGTGGTCAGAAGAGGAGAGTGAGGAAGAAGAAAGCCAGCAGCCTATCAGTAGAGAGGATTCTGGGATACAGGTGGACAGAACGCCACAGGAAGACCAGGAACGGAACAATAAGACAGTACAAGTCACTTGGACTGGTAAAGGCATGATCTCAACACAAATTGTGACAATGCAAGGGGTACTTAAAATTATGAACATCATATTGTAAGCATCACTGATGATTCCAGAAGAGCTTTAGTGCAATGTTTGAAAATTATATTAGATGTGTTTAACAAGTAAATGGTTTTCGTGTAATTTTTATAATTTATTTATTTAGTGGGTGAGCCAGATGCCCGTGCTTGGCTGGAGCTGCATGTTGTAACGCCGTACTGGGTCCCCCACTCACCCCGTTTTCCACACAGTCTCCATTTGCACTCTAACCTGCTCAACGTCTGGTGAGAAAAAAGCCTGAGCATCCAGTCTACCCTTATTTGAGTTTAGTTTCCATAAATAAACTGTATGGGTGGAGAGTGAATGGTATGTTTTAATATTTTTGCAATACTGAGGAAAATTCAGGTTTCAACAATATGGGCCCATTTATTTATTTATTTATTTTTTAATTATTATTTTTTGATCCTCCATGATACAGTGTAATATTAAAAGTGCATTAAACATGCTTTTCCATTTCATCATTCAGTTCTCTGCCCCTCTTTTTTGAATTTTATGTCCCTTGTAAAACTTACAACTCTGTAAGAAATTCAAAAATGAACCACAGATCAGTGAAAAGAACATCTACACTGAAATGGGTCTAATTTCCTAGCAGTTAAGGAGTAATTAAATCCAGGAAAAAGCTTATGAGTAGCTTTAATTAATGGAAACATCTGTTTGTTAAGTGTGTTGATATACTTCCTTTGATTCTCTCTGCAGGGATCAGCATCTTTACAACACTGACCCGCTGTACCTGCCTGAGGAAAAAGCTTTTGTTACTGAAACCCAAGTTATTCGAGAGACTTTATGGTAAGATTGGATACATTTATTTTAATTGACATATAGTTATAGATATGATGAAAATTACAATTATGATAGGAGTATTTTAGTAAGTAGTATAATAGGTGAATAGGTTTTATTTTTATTAATTAATAAGAAATTATTCTATCTGAATGTTATAGTTAGGAGTGTGAAGACAGAATAAGTTGAGTGTTACACTGATACCCTCTATAAATGTCATTGGTTGTGTTGTTTAAAACCTCAGTGGAATGTGCTGTTCATTTCCATGAATGTTGCCAATATCAAGTGTCGAAGGTTTCTGAATCCCAGTGGTAGGTGTTTCCTTTTTCATGCTAAACACATGGCCAAATGAAAATGCTATTTACCCCTGTATTCTTTTTTTGTGCTCAGGCTGTTGTCAGGGGTAAAGAGGCTTTTCATATTTCAGCACCATGATGGCAAAGTAAGCGTGAGGAATGACGTGGTGGTCACCCACTTGACCAATGTAAGCTTTAACGTTGTTTTAGTTTTTATTTAGTTAGGTCCTCGGTAACAATTTACAACCAGAGTACATCAGTTAACGGTACTTACAGTAAGCTAATAACTAATAAGCATTACTAAACAGTTAAATGATGTCACAGCTAATTAACTAATGACAGAAATAGAAACTAATATTATTTTACATTTTATTTAGTAGTTTATATTAATTACTAATGGTTAAGTAATATCTAAATTAATAATTAACAAATTATAGTAATGATAGCTAGCATATTGCTTTAGATTTTAATAAGTAGTTTATTAAAGTGTTAATAAATGTAACATAACATTTGGAACAGTAGGAACTAAGCACTAATAAACCTTAAAGGTGTTTCCCTGCTCCAATTGATCAGGGCCAAGTTTCCCAAAAAAGCTTAGAGTTTAGGTCATCTTAACTGGTAGAGAGAGTGGACTGTGTACTTGCTCTACTATTTAACCATCATCTGTGTGCTAAGATAAGGTAAGACTTATTGGTAAAGCCTAAGATCTATGGTCAGGCTCTATGGTCTTCATGTAGGTGTTTGCTTTTTTCTGTTCCTTTCAAGAAGTAGTAGTTAGTACATTTATTTACTTTTAACATATTAACATAGTTTTAATATTATTCATTATATTAATATATAATTATTTTTTCAAAGTATTACTTAAGCATTATTAAAGATCATTTAAAGTTATTTATGATTCTTATTGTAACATTATGTGCACATATAGTCTAAAGAGCACTTTATAATCACACAACATTGTTTAATGAATTTAATAAACTTGAGTCCTTGTCCAGGCAAGCTTGACACAGTTCCAGCTGATTGGAACTTTTTAATTATTGCTAACTGTAGATATGGGCATTTTACAGGCTTGTACCTATTTTTTATAGCCACTCCCTGTCTTAGGAATGTCAACACACTTTCCTGTTATTTGAATTGTATGTTCTTTTGTCTTTCCCATTCACCTCTGAGTCACCTCACACTCACGCACGCACACACGCATGTATATAGCCATTGATTACTGCTTTAAAGTTTCTGATTAACTTAAAGTAAAACATAATTGGGAAAAAATGCTTCAGTTGCATTTTGCTTCTAAGAATTTCTAGGGATGGCAATACTTGTGGCACGTACGGTTTCATTAAAAATAATTATTTCTTGATGAGAAAATAAATTTACTTAATTTTTTTTCACTGTGAGATTAAGCTAGTTCACCAAAAGGTGAATTTCCTATAACCCTTTTTGCTCATCTTTACCAAGAGTGGCAAACATTGTGGAGGGGACTGTATATACAACTATAGATATTACTCTGTGCTCTTACATGTTTATGAAGTGTTAATAAGGTAGATATTTAAGCCTTTTTTTTTATTAAAGCCGCATTTGACGTTATTATAGACTGCAACAAAGTGTTCATTAGTGCTTAGTTTTTACTGTCTCTTATTGATTCACAATAATTAACACATTAATAAACTACTTAATAATATTTAAAAATAACGTGCTTATCATTACTATCATTAGTTAATGATTAATTGAAAAATTACTTAAGCATTTTGTAATGATCATAAACTACTTAATAAAATCTAAAATGTTAGTCCTCATTTCTATCATCAGTTAATGATTAATTGCTACATTACTTAACGATTTAGTAATGCTTATTTCTTAAGTACTGTTAATGGATGTAGTTTTATTGTAAAGTGCTAGCCAGAATTTAACAGAATAGCTATGAATTTCCTCCTTTAAGTCACAAGTCTGATCTTTCTTAAAAGATTCTAAATATGCATTCAAGGTGCCTCTGGTTTGTGTTTATATATTGACTTTGTAATTGTAACTGGTACAGAATTGCCTTCGCTCAGTGCTGGAGCATATAGCAGCCTATGGACAGGCGGTGTTCCGTCTACAGAGGTTCATTGATGAGGTGACTGGTCACAGTGCAGAGCCATGTCCTCCTGGGCTCAACTCTTCCTCCTCCTCATCGTCCAAGAAGAACTCTGAGCCCCCATTCAGAACCTACCAAGCCTTTGTGTGGGCACTGTACAAGTACTTTACCAGCTTTAAAGAGGAGCTCACAGCCATTGAGAAAGATATAATCGGCAGAGGTAAGAGGTGTTTACCTTTATTTGTTTGAATAACATGCAAGGTAATGATGTCAAGGGTGCAGCCTCTAAAATGATGTTTGTTTTGTGATGTGTGTGCAGATGAGACAGTGACTTTGTCCGCTGTGTTGGAAAGACTCAGCCCTCACCTGGCTCAGATCACAGTCTTGCACAGAGTTTTCTGCACAGGGGTGGCTGAGGTCCCCCCTGGCACGCCAAATGTGGTACGAGCCTCACATTTACTCAACACGCTCTACAAGGCCATCATTGAGTATGACAGTGTGGGTGAAGCTTCTGAGCAATCGGTAAGTTTGTGTTAAAAACGTTTGTCTTTTTAAATCTGTTAAGGGGTGAAAGTAGTCAACAGTAAACTAATTACTAGAGGCAGTCTCCTAGTTTTGTGTACTTAAGGTGAGATACTACAGGTAAATAGGGATTTTTTTTTAATCAATCTTTGCCAGCTAATCACTGATATTCATGCAAGGTTTGTATTGGGCAAAAAATCATATTTAGATGAGATATCTACTTAAGTATGCATTCATTTGCATATTTTTTAAAGATAGTTTTTGAGTGATGTTAGAATTAAAATTGTGAAGACATGTCAGAAAAGATTTTGCAGAATAAATAGCTGGGATCTCATTTTTTATTGTCTGATCAAGAAAACATTGCACTAATATTATTAAATAGGCTGGGTGATGTGGCAAAAATGTAATATCATAAACCTTCAAAAAGTTTTCATGACACAAGATATGTCACAATATTTATTTCTTCTAACATTTGATGAAACAGTGGTGCTACATTTAAAAATACTGTCAAAAACTATGAATACAATGATTTATGTTCAGCGTTTCACATTTTATGCTGCACAAAATCCAGTTAATCAGGACCAGTTATGCTCTCTTTGTAATCAGGCATACAGATGAGAAGTGTTTTTAAGTACTGATGATATCCCCAATATACTCAGAGGAGCGTATTGTGTCATACTGTGTAATTCACTGTGACATAATTTATCATGTTAACGATAAATATTGTCACATTGCCAAGCCCTATTCTAAAATATTTTTCATGTTATCATAAATCATAAATCCGACTATGAGCAATATATTAGGAAAATCTTCTGTAAAACCCTTTAGAATGGTATTAGGAATGAAATTTTATGAATGCAGGTATTCTAGAAACTGAGATTTGTGGTTCTGACATTGGAATGGTATTACTAAGAAAACATGTACCTTCATTATAGTTGTTGATTTTATGAAAAAACAGTTAGACATTGAGTGTTCGCAAACGGAAGCATCAAACAACCATTGTGAAGTAAATACGTTTCTGCTGAGATCTGACTTTTTTATGATTACAGTTTAAGGGAAGACATGTTATAGATGCAGTTTACCCACAAAAATTGATTGACAGGACCAAAATCATCATTTCTGCCTATAGCGTCTTGCCTGAGTTGAAAAACCTTTTAAACTACCCACTATTTAGGTCAGGCGTTTCAAACTAGGGATCTTCTGGGCCAAAGTGCTGCAGACATTAGCCTAGTTTTTACCCTCATCAAACACTCTGAATTCAGTTCATGAAAGCCTTGCTAATTAGCTAATGAACTGAATCAGGTGTGTTTAATGAGGCAGTGCGCTGAAGTCTGCAGTGTTTTGGCCTGTGAGTACTGGAGCCTGACATATGTGATTTAGATATGCTAGTTTGTGTATATGTGAGCAAGCTGACGCTGAGTGGTTTTCTGTATTTGGGGTGGGCATCCTGCATAGTTTAGTGTTTTGCTTGCTCTGTAGCACTTGTATTACTGCTTTACAAACAAATAAAGTAGTGGTAAACTATCTGATGCCCAGTTGCCCTTTATTTCACCAGGTGGCGCTTCTCTTCTCACTCTGGGTTGAAACAGTGAGGCCATACCTTGAGATAGTGGATGAATGGATTGTTCACGGCCACTTGTTCGACCCAGCCAAAGAGTTTATAATCCAGAGGTAAAGAATGAAAAATGTAGTAATTGCATTTGTTTCTATATGTTCACACAATGGAATTAGAATGTCTCAAAGCACCGATTTAGGAAGAAGTAGATGCTTAAATACACCATATCACAATGTCTTTCGGTTGTGTTCTAGCAGAATATTCTGTTGAAAAACTCAACATTAGAAACCTACATCAAAGCAGCACACACTCTGAATTCTGAAAGCTGAACGCGGACTGCCTGTAGGACTGTTTGTTTGTTATTGTTATACTGTTTATTTTCATAAAGTAATTTCCATAGTAGAAAATTCCATAATATTTCTTTAGACAGTAATATATGAGACAGTTTGTATTTCATGATTTAAGAGAACAATAATAATCAACTGAAGTGTCTTCATCTTACTAAGCATTGGGTCTGTGTGCATTAGGAACAAGGATGTGCCTGTGAATCACAGGGACTTCTGGTACGCCACCTACACCCTGTACAGTGTGTCTGAGGCAGTGGAGAGTGAGGAGAGGCTGAGTGATGCTGCCAGTGGAAGCTCTGGAGGAGAGCAGGGCTCCAGCAGCAAGCAGCACACAATGGTGTCCTTCCTCAAGCCTGTCCTTAAGCAGATCATCATGGCAGGAAAGTCCATGCAGCTCCTGAAAAACTTGGACTGCAAGGAGGAAGAGCAGGCTGATGGATCTTCTAGAGGTCTGGGTTTGGTTAAATGTGGAATGTAAAAGAAAGGTTTTGATTTCTGTAATTTGCCTTACCAGCACACTTTTCATATATTGTATGCATAGTGCTATAAACATGGTAAGGATAGGGTAGGATGCAATAATCTCAGGTTAGGGAACAGTAGTTCATGATAAGCCCAGGTCGTTCCTGACCTATTGGAGTAGAGGTGGGAGATGGTCCTCACTTTGGGCTTAAGGTATCCACTTTTACTAAGAAGTCTTTATCTCTGAAATACCCTTCAGCTTGCCTTTTTACTTTGTCGGATGCAAAATACTCAATACTGTAGCTTAACAGAATGATTTGTTAATCAAATTTACAAATTTTACATTTACCCTACATGTAGTACATCAGCCAGTATATGTTTGGTGTCCAAATTGTGTATCTTTAATTCAGTGCTGAACTTGCAAGGCTTACATTGCTAACAAACAGTAGAGGTCAGTTGTCACTGAAATCTTTTTTATGAATACATCCTCAAAACTTCTCTCAAACCACATCCAAACCACATTCAGGTTGTGTATTAAGGTCATGCAGATTTTTCAGTCTTGTTTAGAGGACAGCAAATTGTGGACTCAAAATATATCTTGGCTGATCAACTACATCTGGTGTAGGTAGAAAATTATGTAAATTAGATTTTTTGCCGAACTGTTCCTTTAATACATGAACTCTAAGCTAATATTCACTTTTAATCTCATGTTATATGTAATGATGTAAGACAGTTTATTGTTTGTGTGTTTTTCTCTCTTAGATGCCGAAAGGAAAAGTCTTTATACACTCTTTCTGGAATCAGTGCAGACTCGTCTGCGACGTGGAGAAGAGTCACCCACAGATACGGTAACGGAGCAACAAGCCACAAAGAGAAGCCTTATTAAGATGCAGTCCATCGTGGCCCGTCATCTGGAAATGGATGACATCCATGACCCCCTGCTGGCCATCAACTTTGCGAGGTGATCTAACCTAACGCAGAAGCATCAGAAGGTTACAACAGACCACAAGATAAAAAATGTATTAATCTTTTAAATACAAAGAGATCAAAATATGCTCACACAGGCAGCTGTTTAATAAGGATGAAGACTAAGAAGAATAAGAAACAAGAGCTTGTGTTTCTAATAAATTGTCTTCCGAATCATCCTCAGGTTGTATTTAGAACAGAAAGACTTTCATGAGAAGTTCTGTGGTGGTGATGTGATTGTGGACCGTTCATCAGAATCAGTGACATGTCAAACATTCGAGCTGACACTCCGCTCCTGCCTGTATCCACACATTGAGAAGAGATACATTGAATGCTGTGGCAACCTCATGAGAACGCTCAAAAAGGACTACAGGTAAAATTCTGTCTTTAAACCTTTAGAGGTCTGTTTTGAATACAGTCTATGTAAATTGTGCTATTAGTATTCAAAACATCGGCCCAGTCTAGCTGAGTTTATATTGTTGTTGTTGTTCTTGAAAGCTCTGGCTGAGCAATTTCATATCTTGGCTGACTGGTCTCATTTCTTCTTTAAGGCTACTAGGATACCTTCAGGCTATGAGAAACTATTTCCTTTTGGAGGCCGGTGACACCATGTATGACTTCTACACAGCCATCTTTGACAAGGTGCTGGAGAAGGAGAGCTGGCAGCAGCTGGCGTTTCTCAACGTGCAGCTGCAGGAGGCTGTTGGACAGCGCCACCCAGAGGACAGCAACAGGTACTGCCTGAACTTCAACAGTTTATAAGTTCTTAAAGACTTTCGTCTTTTTGTTGTTTTAGTGTAATTCAGTTTTCTGACTTACTGCTGTGTCTTTTGGCTGATTTTCACAGATTGTCAATCTTTCTGGAGACAATCGATCCCACAAGGAAAAAACAGCCAATCAACAACCTTGATGGTCTTACATTGAGTTATAAGGTAACTAGACCTATTTTTTCAGTCTGTTTGTTTAGATCTGGATTTTTTTTATGAATTTATTCATTTTTGTTTAATATAATTACTTGTGCTTACCAGGTTCCATGGCCTGTGGATATTGTTATTAGTTCCGAATGTCAGAAAATCTACAATCAAGTTTTCTTGCTCCTTCTACAAATAAAATGGGCTAAATACAGTCTGGATACACTGCGATTCAGTGGTAAGTTATGCTTACGTAGTACTCCCCGTGAAATATATATAAAGGTTTTCCAGAAGATTTTGGAGTGTGTCTGTGGGAACTTGTGCCCATTCATTGAAAAAAGCATTTGTGAGGTCAGGCATTCAGGTTGGACAAGAAGGTCTGGCTTGCAGTCAACATTTCAGTTCAGCCCAAAGATGTTTAGTGGGGTTGAGGTCAGGGCTCTTTGCAGACCACTCGAGTTTCTCCACACCACACTCTTCAAACACTCTTCATGTCCTAATGGACAAACCTCTGTCTCTGCTCCTGACTCCAGGGGCAGCGTTCTTTACACCACTCCAGCCAATGCTTGGTGTAAAGCCTGCACACAGGCTTGTGTGCAGCTGCTCAGACATGGAAACCATTTCATGAAGCTGCTGATGCACAAATATTGTGTTAATGTTGCTTTTGAAGGCAGTTCGGATTTGTACGTGCCATGCGTTTCAGCGCTTGGTGGCTTTGCTCTGTGAGTTTACGAGGTCTGCCGCTTCGTGGCTGAGCCGTTCTGGCTCCTAGACACTTCCCTTTCACAGTGATAGCACTTGACAGAGGAAGATCTAGCAGGGCGGAAATTTCACAAACTGTCTTGTGGCAAAGGTGGCATTCTCTGACAGTGCCACGTTTAAAGTCAGTGAGTTCTTTAGAACAACCCATTCAACTGCCAGTGTTTGTGAATGGAGATATCATGGTTGTTTGCTTGATTTTATACACCTGTTAGCAGTAGGTGTGGCTGAAACATCTGAATGTAATAACTCAGTAATTAGGAGGGGCATCTACATACTTTTGTGCTGTGTGTGTCTCACATTGCATTAATTTTAGTTGAAGGGCAACTCAAACTTTCAGACAACTTTTTAAGTTCATTTGGGAAAGTTGAGATGGATCTAGCTGATTTGATTTAGGTCACCTGATTTTCTGTCTGCTAAAAATGTTATTTCTCCACAGATTTGACAGCAGCTGCTAAGAGGCATGAAGGAGGCCAGTCTGAAGAGTACACAGCCAGAGAACCCATAAACCAGCAGATCCATAGGATGTTCCTACTAAGGGTCAAGCTAATGCATTTTGTTAATAGTCTGCACAACTACATTATGACCAGGGTAGGTATTTGAAGTTTGTATTAGCCAGATTTCTGTTTGTTGTACAATGAGAATTGTGTTAGATGTCCCACAAGTATTAATTAGGGCCGTCAAAGTTAACATGATTAAAAAAACAAAAAAAACAAAACTGTAATTTAACACTATCCAGGTTGGCAGACCAAACTGCTCACATGTTGTATGTGTATGATAATTGCTGTTGTAACCCTCTGGTTCAAATACAGCTTACAAATGGCTTTTAAATTAACACCTTCCGCAGACTGTGTGGACAGAGCTCACAGGAGACCTAACTAACAGCAACCAAACAAAGGCAATAGCAAAGTGGAAAGCTACAGTTCTGTTCCACTGTAAAAAGAATCGACAAACTATATGAAAGAGAATAAGAGTTGAAACCATTGACTTTATATATGATATGAAACATTTATATTGGCAATACAAGCAAAAAGAACATCAAAAGTGCTTAAGAATGGAAAAACAATATAAAAAAAAGTGATGTAGTCAGAAGTAAATGTGTGTGTGGTTGGAACAAGCCACAGTTGAAAACTGGAAAAGCTGTTCACTCTATGGAAATTGTGTAATTTTCATGCCTAGGTTCATATGAACCATATGTTTAAATGGTGACAATAGTGTCACTGAATTACTGAACGTCTGATGAAGCTTATTTAGTCCAAAGTTTTATTAACTACACACTTTAAAAGCACAAAACAATGTGATTCATTTTATTTATTTAGTTTAGTCCAAGTATCATTCAAATTCATTTGTACTACATTGCCTTTGCTCTTCTAATTTCAGATCCTACATAGCACAGGCCTGGAATTTCAGCACCAAGTACAAGAGGCAAAAGACCTGGACCAGCTCATAAAAATCCATTACAGATATCTGTCCACCATTCACGACCGCTGCCTTCTGCGGGAGAAGGTAGGACACCCCCTCCACATCCCATCTGATAGCGTTTTGGGGCAGTATCTTAATGGAGCTTGTGCTTATTTTAAGTGCCGTAATAAATATTCAATTGCTTTCTGTCAATGCTGTTTGCAGTACTTGAACACAGAATCAAGGTTACTCTGTCCTTGCAGGTAAGTTTTGTCAAAGAAGCCATCATGAAAGTCCTTAATTTGGTTCTCATCTTCTCTGACCGATGGCAGGCTGGCTTTGGAGCATGGAAGTATGTTGTATTAATTTACAAAAACATTTTTAATGTATTTTAATCTGGTATAAGGTATCACATTTATTTAGTCATTTTGCACACGTCTATGAATCTAGTCTGTCGTTGGAATTTTCTGAAGACTCTCAAAACGTGTCTTATTTATCTGTTTCAGAATTGAATCTATTGACAAAATGGAGTCGGATTTCAAGAACTGTCACATGTTCTTGGTGACCATTCTAAATAAGGCCGTCTGCAGGGGATCGTTTCCTCATTGTGAGACTACTTTTGCTTTATTTAACTGCTTCCCCTCTTGCATCAGTTTGGTGTTTCTGTGTCTTAAGTTAACTGCACAGTGTTATGCTGTTTGTTAACTTTGTATTTTCCTTTTTACTTCCTAGTGGAGTCCCTTGCTCTGTCTCTGATGGCTGGTTTTGAGCAGTGCTAGATGACTCTCAACTGCAAACACAGCACACTGGTCCAGCTGTTGACTGCCATGCTGTATGATTCCTTCTGTACTGTTTGTCTCTGCCAAGATGTCTGATGTCAAAGCACATAAGGGGCTGATGGTCAAAACAACAGCTCTTCTTTAGTGTGAAGGGAGCTGTGTTTCTGTGTCTGTATAAAGGCCACCTCAGTGAAACATGGATATTGCCCGCACATCGTGATGTTGCTCTCGATGTTTTTCGAATCAAGACTGAAGACTTTTTCATTTGACTTCTACTTAAAGAGCACTTGGTCACTGTTGCGTGCTGTGAAAGTTGTAAAGCATTTATGGTCCCCAACAAAGACAATACAGTGTATTAATGCGGATTGAGTACAAGAGGTATTTTGCTGGTTGTGTGTTTCTGTTCAAATAGGGACATTATTCTTTGTGAAACTAAAGGATGTATAATGCCTGTACATGTGTATATCAGCTAATTATTTGCTTGTATGTATTGTTACTGCTGAAAACTGTATTTTTCTTCATTCAGTGACTATTTGTGTGCAATAAAAGAGCCGTTACTCTAAAACTGACTGTAAATTCATTTTCAATAAAAAGAAAAAAAGAAAGTGTTAGATAAAATAATCCCTTTAGTGTCTCATATTAAAGCCTGTCACTTAAGTATATTGTTTGCTATGTGAATCTGAGTGGCTCTTTAATTGCTCCTAAATACATGATGTAGAGAGATCAGAGGACTCCCCACTCTGTAGAGTAAGGGTATTTCTTTAGCTTCAGTCCTGGAGGGCCAGTATCCAGCACAGTTTGGTAATCTGAGTTCTCAAAAACCCCCTCCGAATTAAGATAACTGCATTAATCCCAGGTGGGACATTTAGCAGTTACAGCAGCATAACATACAACAGAGGTTTTATAAGTAAAGTTGTACGCAAAAGTTTGAACACCCCTGGTCATGTTTTGTTGATTTCTAATTTGAAAACCCATCCCCTACAGAGAACATTGTGGTGCACAATTTGTATTTATTTACTGTGTTTAACACATTGGGGAAAAATAAAACCTATAATATAAAATGTGCCATAACTTTTGCACTTCGCACATTTTATGTTCTATTTTCCCTAATATGTTAAATTCAGAAAGTAACCAGTAATTGTGCATTGCATAAGAAAAAGGGTGTTCTCTGTAGAGGATGTGTACTTATTTTCACAGGAAATCAATAAAATGTAATATGACCAGGTATAGTATAATGAGTACAGATTTATTATAGATAAGTAAGATTTCAATGTACATTCACTATATGGACAAAGGTACTGGGACATCTACACATTACACTCACAGGAGCTTTTATGACATCCCATTCTAAATTCATAGGCATTAATATGGAGTTTGTCCCCTCTTTGCAGCTATAACAACTTCCACTCTTCTGGGAACCTTTCTACAAGATTTTGGAGTGGGTCTTTGGGAATTTCTGCCCATTCATCTAAAAGTGCATTTGTGAGGTCAGACACTAAATGTCCATGCCTTTATGGACCATGCTTTGTGCATTGGGGCTCAGTCATGCTGGAACAGAAAAGGGCCTTCTCCAAAATATTTACACAAAGCTGCACAGAATTGTCCAAAATGTCTTGGTCTGCTGAAACATTAAGATTTCCCTTCACTGGAACTAAGGGGTCTAGGCCAACCCCTGAAAAACAACCCCATAGCATTATTCCTCCTCCACCAAACGTTACAGTTGGCACAATTCAGTCAGGCAGGTAGCGTTCTCCTGGCATTCGCTAAACCCAGACTCGTCCATCAGAATGCCAGATAGAGAAGTGTGATTCATCACTTCACATAATGCATTTCCATTGCTCCAGAGTCCAGTGGTGACGTGATTTACACCGCTTCCCACAGTCCTGTTTGACATTGTGCATTTTAATCTTAGTTTTGTATGTAGCTGCTCAGCCATGGGAAACCATTTCATGAGCTTCTAAAATGCAGCTCTTTTGCTGATGTTGCTTTGAGAGGCAATTTGGAACTTGTTATTGATCGATTCGACAGAAGATAAGCACTCGGCAGCCCCACTCTGTGAATTAGCGTGGTGTACCACTTTGTGGCTAAGTTGTTGCTTCTAGGTGCTTCCATTTCACAATAATAGCACTTATATTTGACAGGGGCAGATCTAGTAGGATGGAAACTTCATAAACAGACTTGTGGCAGAGGTGGCGTCCTATGACAGTGCTATGACCCATTCTACTGCCAATGTTTGTATATCGAGACTGCAAGGCTATGTGCTTAATTTTATTCACCTCTTAGCAATGAGTGTGGCTAAAACACCTGAACTCAATTAGGAGGTGTGTCTAAATATTTTTTGTCTATATAGTGTATATGCAGACAATGACAAATATACCAGATGTACAGGCAAGAAATTAAAAGATGCACAAACGCATTGATTGGCCAGTTCATTAAGTACACCTACCTTTCATTTACACTGTCCATTTTATCAGCTCAACCTACCATATAGGAGCACTTTGTAGTTTTGCTATTACAGACTGTAGATCATCTGTTTCTCTGCTATGTTGTTCGTCCCCTTTTACCCTGTTCTTCAATGGTCAGGACCCCCACAGATCCACCACAGAGCAGGTATTATTTGGGTGGTGGATCATTCCCAGCACCGCAGTGACACTGACGTGGAGATGTGTTAATGTGTGTTGTGCTATTGTGAGTGGATCAGACACAGCAGTGCTGCTGGAGTTTTTAAACACTGTGTTAAACACTTTAGTCCTTCATCAGTGGTCACAAGACGCTGCCCACAGGACAGGACTAGATATTTCTGGTTGGTGGACTATTCTTAGTCCAGCAGTGACACTGAGGTGTTTAAAAACTCCAGCAGCACTGCTGTGTCTGATCCACTCATACCACTCACACATGCAGTGCTGAGAATGATCCACCACACAAATAATACCTGCTCTGTGGGGGTCCTGACCATTGAAGAAAGGGGGCTAACAAAGTATGCAGAGAAACAGATGCGCTACAGTCTGTATGTAGTGCTCCTGTATGTTAATTGGACCTGATAAAATAGAGAAAGATTGTAGAAACAAGTGAAGTGGCTGGTCAGTGTATACAAATATACTCAAGTTGTATAAATGCGGTCAAATGTGCTGTGCAACATCTGGAAGTTGACAGCTGGATTGAATCAGATGTGTATGTCTGGATTGAATCAGGCCTGTGCTGGACACTTGCCCTCCAAACAGCTAAAAGCTACTACCCTATATCATACCATATGCAGTGGACGCTTAATAAATTGGTGAAATAAGGCTCTTAGCTAGCTAGCCAACTTTAGTCAGTGTGAAGGCATGTGTCCAAAAGGGAGCCATTTGGGATTTTTCTGTCAGGTACAGAAGTTAGAAGTCTTGGGCGGCTTCTTCATAATTCTGCTCTCATCTGTGGACAAAATAGTGCTTGAGAAAGATTAGTGTCATCACATTTAGCCTCACATATCACATACCACACTACTACTACTACTAAACCTCTAGACCCTATTCCTCAACAAGAATGGAGTACAATATTCACATGTCGAAAAACATGATTTCAGAGATATTAATCTTTCTAGAGCCCGACCTTTGCTACTATTCATATTTGAAGTTTTAGATTTGGGATGTTTGTATGTTATAGTTTGATTTAAAGCAGTTCTGTGAGCTCACGGCGGTTGTCCGTGCGCGCCCCCTGATGGCCGGGCTTGGTGTGCGCCTGTGGACTTTCCTGTTGAGTTTTCCTGTAGTAGAGGAACGGGAACTCCCACAGTGAGCTGGCCGCCTGCCTGCCAGCGCTTCAGGCGAGAGACAGGATTTCAGCACGACACAGACCCGAGGAAAGTTTTACTAGTAAATACAACGAGCGTTGAGACGGCAGACAACATACCAGAGCTGAGATATCTTCGCGGCGACTTCAGCAAATGGATAGTTAAACGACCCGAACGGAGCAGTTTATCCCTGGGAAAAAAAAACAGAAACTGAGGGTGGGTAGCTTGTGCTAGCGTCTGCTCAGCCGAAAAGTTTTCCTCCTCCCTGGCTTTGGGTGTTGGCTTTTGTGCTCGTCGCGACTCTTTGCGCTTCAAATGAATCGTTTCTCGGAGTTTAGTTGGCACAGTTATACACTCGAGAGGCTTTTTAGGGAAAAGAAGCAGCGTAGCTGCTTAATTAGCACAGGGTGGTAATCTTTGGGGCGAGTTAGCTGAGTTAGGCCTCTGTGTCAGGCTGAGTAGTGTGCAGTGGTTTATGGAGCTCAGCGAAGCCAGGTGGGAACGAGTCAGTCTTAGGAGTTCAGCTACAGAAACGAGCGGCGAAAGGGGAAGTAGCGAGGAAATGGGCTTTGCTTTCGTTGAAAATTACGATTAAGCCATTAAGTGATTTCCCTATGGTTTGTTTTTGGTGGTAGCTGTGTTTTAGTCTTTTTTATATTAGCTAAATCCAGGGTTTTGTATTGGTAAAGCCCCGAAGTGGTAGCTACTTACTTCGTCATGGTTGGTTAATAATGCATGTAAATGAAAATAAACCCCCGCACACTAAGATCATGAAAAAGAGACATGAAACTACAGTGCAGTACTGCAGCTACTTACTTCCTGAATGGGTGTTTGGCTAGGAATGGATATTTCATTGAGGAATGTCAGTCAGCAAACAGCTCAGAAGTGAGAGGCAGTTTGAATGTTTTTTTAATTGCTTGTATTGTAACTCATTAATATTGCCTGTAATCCTGAAAAGCGGCGGTGCTGTGAAAATGATAAGTTTCAAGCATTCTGTAAGGTCTTCAGTGCTGATCAATGATCACAAAATCACAGCATAAAAACCTGTGTTTTCAATTTTCAGTCTCTGTTTAGCTGAATTATACAGCATGTTTTCATTCGTGAGAGCAGTGAATTACTATTTATGGCTAAAAAGGAACTGTGTCATACTGTCAGACTAAAATATGTACGTGGAGCTGTATACTTCTGTATTAGTCTAAAATATTTCCGTATTTCTGCAGTACTGTCTTTTGGTAGTGCATGATAGAGTTTGCATGGCATCTTAGTCTAATAGGAATCCTGTGGAAAGTCCTGTAATGTTCCTGCGGTTCTTTTTCATTAAAGGTCCACATCCTGCAACTTTCTTCAGCTTTATTTTCCAATTAGCTGAATGTCCAGTTGTAACATTTGTGTGGTTTTATGTACCAAAACAGTTAGTTGTAATTCATTTTCCATGAACTTGGTGTGAGTGGTCAGAGCTAAACTGCTGTAGGCCAAATAGATGGATATATGTAAATGTGTTGATTTATGTGACATCACAGAAATAGTGAGTCCTAAATGGGTTGTTTTGATAGTTTAGTTTCCATATATATGAACTGTGTGAACTACATCGTACATTAGATTCTTTGATTTAAAGAAAAGTAAAGTCATGTCAAAATTTAGGCCCTTTAAAATCTGTATTTGTCTCCACCATACAATTTTTTTTTTTTTCATCTTTGACTTTCACAAACCTGCCTGTTAAAATCTCAGTGTAGATCCCTGTTTTATAGTCATCACACAGCATGTTTTCATTCCTGACTCACTGTGAGCTCTTATAT